TCTAATTAGCATAATAATTCATAATTTTTTTGTTCTGTTCTGTTCATATTACCGGTAGTTACCTGATGTATATAATTAGTTTACAGCTTTTCCATCAATATCTCATGTACAAGTAATTTTTAATTAATTTTTAATGTGTCTTCAATACTCTCATCACACGAGAGTTCTAAGCTTTCTTTGATTCAACTTCTTCTTGAAAACTACAAGCCTGAATGCTTTGATACTTGGTGTATATGTACCTTGGGTAGACCTAGACCTCTCTTAGGTTTGTTCAATTCGTGATGATATCTTCAATTCTCTAATTTTGGTGAATATTTTTTTCATTTTTGGTAAGTGATATTTTCAACTTCTTGTTAAAAACTGTAAGTTTGATTGCTTTGATACTATACATATTGTTCATTTTCTAATGATGTCTTCAGCTCTTTAATTGAAATGTGCATTGCTAACAGCGGAGCTATCTCAGCCAATAGGCTGCTTGTTGGTGAATATTTTTCGACTTATTGTTAAAAACCACAAGTCTGATTGCTTTGATATTACATATATGGGTACTACATGTGGACTTCTCTCAGATTTGTTCATTTTGGGATGATATCTTCAATTCTCCAATTTTGATGAATATTTTTGTCATTTTTGGTAAAAAGTAATATTTTCGACTTCTTGTAAAAAAAACAGCAATTCCGATTGCTTTGATATTACATATATGGGTACTACATGTGGACTTCTCTCAGATTTGTTCATTTTGGGATGATATCTTCAATTCTCCAATTTTGATGAATATTTTTGTCATTTTTGGTAAAAAGTAATATTTTCGACTTCTTGTAAAAAAAACAGCAATTCCGATTGCTTTGTTATTACATATATGTGTACTACATGTGGACTTCTCTCAGATTTGTTCATTTTGGGATGATATCTTCAATTCTCCAATTTTGATGAATATTTTTGTCATTTTTGGTAAAAAGTAATATTTTCGACTTCTTGTAAAAAAAACAGCAATTCCGATTGCTTTGATATTACATATATGGGTACTACATGTGGACTACTCTCAGATTTGTTCATTTTGGGATGATATCTTTAATTCTCTAATTTTAATGAATATTTTAGTCAATATTGGTAAAAAATGATATTTTCGACTTCTTGTTAAAAACGGCAAGTCTGATTGCTTTGATACTGTACATATTGTTCATTTTCTAATGATGTCTTCAGTTCTTAATTGAAATGTGCATTGCTAACAGTGGAGCTATCTCAGCTGAGAGGCTGCTTGTTGTAATGTGCATTGCTAACAGCGGAGCTATCTCAGCCATAGGCTGCTTGTCTATGATAAATTGTTATATTACACAGAAACAATACAGCTTGAAAAAAACAATACAAAATTATGTTGTATTTCAATAAATGATTGTTTGTAACAACGTCAGTTTACAAAATTACTTTTAATGTTTTGAAAACCTCATCTGTGAACATGCTTGCATGATGTGGGACAGAGGTATTCTGTTGCCAATCGTTTTCACCTACTCGTCCAGACAGAACATCTTTATGGGATAGACAGTTATTTTTGATGCATTAATCTGTCACGACAAGCAACTTATATTTTTAGTTTCAGCCCCAACACAAACCAGCTGAATGTAAGAATTTACTATTTTTAGTGAATTTCCAATCAGTAACTGAAGCACACAACCTGAGTCGTCAAATAAAATACTGACTTTCTGTATTTATATGTCATCAATGAATTGAACACATCACCTCAATGAATGAATTTACTTTTTTAAATAAAATCCCAATTTGTAACAGCTGAAGCACACGGCCTAGTGGTCAGCATTCCATATCACAAAAAGCACCAACTTTCAATATTTGTTCAGAATATAATATATAATTATTTCTGACCCGATCTCTTTTCAAAAAATGTTAAATTTACCAGATCTATAGTAGGCAATTAGTTATGTTACTTTTTATTAAAATCATTTTGTATTTTTTTCTCTTTCAGGAAGTTATATTAATGAATCTTGTTATAGAACAGATGATATGTGACCCGGATACAGGTATGTGCTAAACATTGTCACATTTAAGATAATAGTAAATACTTGATTTACTTTACTAATTTGTCAGTCACTACTTGAAGTGAAATATTTTAATTTTCCTTCACCTTATTTCACAGAGCTTGGTGGCGCTGTTCAATTGATGGGGCTTATACGAATTCTTATAGATCCAGAGAATATGCTGGCCACTGTGAATGTAAGTGGTTGTCCATATCAAAGTATTTTTATTCAAGCAGCAAAAGGCAGATTATTGATGTAATAATTTAAAAAACTTTTAAAAAATTGTTGTAATGTATCTAATCACTTTTTTGTTTCATTTTTAGCAGAAGACTGAGAAGACAGAATTTCTAAGTTTCTTTTATAAGCATTGTATGCATGTTTTGACAGCACCACTATTAGCAAATACCACAGATGATGTACCTTGTAAAGGTTAGTTAATAACTTACAGCTGCCATCTTGTTTTTAGTCCCATTTCAAAACAAAGACTTTTTGGTTTCATTTGTGCATTAGGCAGACTGACAGACATATTCTGAACATGCCTGAACTGATTTATTTTATATGTACGTTGGTTCTTTTGACCAAAGTACTCAATTTTTCGTACTTGTTAGAAGAAGTTTGCTTTATAAAATTAAAAAAATAAATGCATATTACATTAAAAATACTGAGTATTTTTTGTATCGTGTGGAATTTTTTTTTGATTGACTGTAATTTTTCAACATTTCGTAATGCCTATTTTAGAACCAAAATAAGGCCTTTCACTCTTCCCCAACGCCTATTCAAGAGATTGTACGGTGTATTGTTTGTTTTGTGCATGTGTTGTAGACAATTTAGTGCTTGCAATATGTACGTAATAGAAACCGCACCCCGAACTTGAGCTTTTGATCCCAATTTTTAAATTGATACATTGTAATATAAACCGCGGTTTATAATAGGACTTTAACGGTAGTATTATTAACGTGTGTACTACTGATATCAAATTAGTGGTCATGTATCATTTTCTTTCTCAAACACTTGTTTCATTGATATGATAACTCTATATACCAATTGCATTAAATATTGAGAAGCTTAATGTAATTGGTTACATGATTTGGTTGCTGTCATGGAGTGAATACAAACTGAAATGATGTATTGGGGGGAAAATGTAATCACATGGTTTGTCAAACAAATCACCATTTGCTACAGCAACATTGTGAGACTTGTGAGACGCTCTGTTGATGCTGTTTACAGCTGTAATATGTATTTATTATGTTTGTTTTTTCAGATGACTATCAGACATCACAATTACTGAGTCTGATATTGGAACTGTTATCCTTCTGTGTAGAGCATCATACATATCACATCAAAAATTACATCATAAATAAAGACTTTCTGCGCAGGGTACTAATCCTCATGAAGTCACGGCATACATTTCTAGTTCTCAGTAAGTGAATGTGTTCTATTTATCATACAAATGTGTCTTAAACCCTGCGTACAGATTGTTCAGTGATTTACTGATGTTGTGGCACTCGCAAGAACATTCGTATTTGCCATATAACTGTTGCCCAATTAATTCTACATATGGAAAGAGATTTTCTACAATTGTATCTGTGCTATCACTAACTACTGAAAATGTTTGTTTTTAATAGGTGTGGTGCGGTTTGTAAGAAGGATAATAGGCATGAAAGACGAGTTTTACAATAGATACATTATCAAAGGGCAACTGTTTTTACCTGTAGTGAATGCATTTCAAGCTAATGGAGACAGGTACAACCTGCTCAATTCAGCCATTTTAGAAATGTTTGAATTTATTAGAATGGTGGGTAGCTTTTCATATTTTTCACTGATTAATGATGTTTTTGTGTTTTACAAGTAAAATTGTGCTTACTGTACATGCTTTGATCTATGTAGTAGATATTATCCACAATGAATGCAAAAATAAGATGAGTAACTTAAGTAATATACCATATTTGCTCTATTACAAGCTTGTATTCATTAGTGTAAAAATGTGCTTTTGACCCATGAACATTGCTTGGTTATTTGTGTTGAGCGTGTGCATTTGATTGAGCAAATATGCATTTTTATTGATCTACCGTAAAATTCGTAATAGAAGCCGCGGCTTCTATTAAAAAGAAAATGGCTGCCCTCCCCAGGAAAAGTGGTGAAGTCCGGGTGCGGCTTCTATTGGAGCATTGTCTAAAATCTTAAAGTGCCTGCAAGCGAAATATGGAAATTAATTAATGATATGCTAATGAGATGCACGAAAATTCCAAACTGCAACAATGTATGAAGTTTTTACTTTAAATCATGGAGCTACAAATGTTTAAATCAAGGGCAATTTTCAGTGATATTCAATAAATATTTACTCAAGATACAAACCATTCAATAAATACTACCGTATATAACATACAAACGCACACACACACACACACACACATGATAGCGGTATAACTCTTTTTGAAGGATGTGGTGGCTCTGAAAAGGGCCGTTTGGTTTGTATGTGGAGAACCACAGAGATTTGGCTAAAATCTAAGGAACTCGTCATCGTCTTCATTGTCGCTATAAAATATCTCGGCGATCTCTTCTTCGATTGCCTCGTCGTCTGCCTCGAGATCTTCGTACACCAAGTTGTCCTCACTGCCATCAAGTGCATTAGATATGCCTGTCTTCTTGAATGAATTGATGACAGTTTGGGGCGGGACTTTGTTCCACGACGAAACGACCCACTCAAGTACCGTCTTCTTAGCAGGGGCCTTTCTTTTACCAGCCGGTGTGAACAGTGCTTCGCCCGTCTTCATCCATTCATGCCACTCGGCGTGCATATAGTCTTTGAGTGGCTTATTTACGCCCACATCTAGCGGTTGAAGAAGTGATGTCAATCCTCCCGGAATCACTGCCCACGTTCCGAGAATACAATTCCTCTTTGACAGCGGACGTGAGGTGTACGCTACACGAGTCCCATATGAGCAGCCGCCGAGAGTCATCGTTCCGTCTCGGAAATGTATTTCTAATCCACGGTAAACAAACTGAAGTCAAGAATAAAAATTAATTAACTACAGGCAAAACATGGAAATAAAAAAAAATTCTGCTAACTCCGTGGAATGATTAAACTAGATAGCAAATAATGATGCGAAAAACGTAATCACAATGTTTACAAGGTGGCAGCCATCTTGAATGGCACACCATGGCTTTTGACATGACGCGACTCGATCCGATCATGCATAATATTGACTGGGAACCATGAAAAACAGATTTATAAGAGAAAAAAAGAAAAATATTTTATGTGGAAACACGGAGCGGCAGTCATCTTGAATCTTATTGATCACATTTACAAACAGTGAACAAACCCAAATGTACACGCAATGATACACGGACGGTACAGTGTAGTGTAGTGTATCAGGACATATCAGGAGAACCGGGCCCAAGACAACTTTTTTTAGCTTCATGCACGAACAAAATAAAAAAAAATACTTACGAGATTCATTGATGTATCCCTTTTCTTGAACTTCTACCGTTATCTCTCTGCGTGTGAGGTCGTCCAGTCGCAGTTTACCTTTGAAAATAATCAAAGGGCGGATCTTTTGGCCGTCAGCGGTAACTGTCAACACAGTGGTGAAACCTCTTTTTTCTGAATTCATTGTCTTGATGTGGACGGTCTTGATGCCTTCATGCTCAAGAGTTCTGTTTCCAGGCATATCGAACCGTAACGGT